AAGGGTGAGTCAGCGCCCAGGCTGCCTCCGTCTGGGTGTAAATAGGAAAGGGTGTGGGTCAGGGTGGGAACTGGGGGGATTCGGGGCGGCCCCAGGGAGAGCCTGGATGAAGTGGCCGGGTTCTCCATCACTGCGGGGTTTCTCTCCGGCTCAGAGAGTCTGTGATCTCCCCTCCCCTTGCGGTTCTTAACCCGGGTCCGCAGGGCTTTTACGGGGCCCAGTTAAACTCGGTGAGACTGTCCAATAATAACAGCTGGTGCTTACATAACACCCGGCACCAGGCGCCGTTCTAAGCACTTTATATGTATTTGTTCACTTTAATATATCAGACAGGCGACATTATTATTCCTGACTTACTGCTAAGGACACTGAGGCACAGAGGAGCTTTGGGGTTTGTCCACGTTCACTCATCCCGGAGTGAACGATCAGGGTTGTGAACCCAGGTGTCTGGCTCAGAGTCTGATTTTTTTTTTTTTTAAATCCTCACCCGAGGATACTTTTTCCATTGATTTCTAGAGAGAGTGGAAGGGAGGGAGGAGGCGGGCAGAGAAAAAGAGACACATCGATTGGCTGCCCCTCCCTCCCCCCCACCCGGCATGTGGAACTTGCAACCGAGGTATGTGCCCTTTACCGGGAACTGAGCCCCTTCCGTCCACAGGCCAAAGCTCTAACCATTGGGAAAACCGGCCAGGGTAGAGTCTGAGCTTTTAACCACTGAGCCACATGTACTGAATTTGCGGGGTGTGAAATATGTGTGTGTGTGGGGGGGGGGGTTGGGGGGGAAGGGAGGCATAACAGGATTGCAGTTTTGCTTCTTTTTTGTTGTTGTTGTTGTTAATCCTCTCCTGAGGGTAATTTTTCCATTGCTTTTCAGAGAGAGTGGAAGGGAGGGAGTGGGCGAAAGAGTTAAAGAGGGGTGGGGGAAGAAAGAGAGAGAAAGGAGAGAGAGAAGCATCTATGTGAGAGAGACATATCGACTGGTTGCCTCCGAATCGGGGGTGGGGAGCCAACCTGCAACCCAGGTAGGTGCCCTTGACTGGGAATCAAATCCAGGAGCCTTTGGTGCACCGGCTGACATTCTAACCACTGGGCAACACAGGCCAGGGCTGCTTTTGTATTTTTGACAGTAAAAAAGGATATGTGTGAATTTATTAAGTGGCCACTTAGGATTTTGTCCTTTGGTGCAAACATATTAGAAATCAATTTTTAAAAAGCGCGTGTGTCTGTTTTCCTTCTGGGATAGGGGCCAGGGCTTCAGATGGATGCTCAAATTCAGGAGGAGTTTCGAATCACGGGGGTGTCTGGTGAGTGCGCAGGAGTCTTTGCGGCTTCGGGCAGGGACCTGACTCTCGTTCTGGGTCTCAGTGTCTCCATGGATGACCCGAAAGGATTAAATCTGGGGTTTGGGGTTCCCTGTACCCAGGAGGGACCCCCCCCTTTGCGTTCTGCCCCTCCCTTGAGGTTAAGGGCCAGGTCGGTGTTAAAGTAGACACACAAGTGCAGTGTGTGTGTTCATGTGGGAACCAACTAGGCCTAGCAGACCCTTTCCATTTCTCTCCCGCCCTCTACGCTTCAGCCAGACTGAATAAACAGCCCTCTACCTCGCTCACTTATACTTATTGTTCTGGGCTCCTCCTCCAGGAAGCCTTCCTGACCTCCCCAAGCTGAGTCGAGTGCCCCCTCTGAGCGCTCACCATCCTCTGGGCTTCCCCACCTCGCCCTGACCACTCTGGATCACCACTCGTGTTGGGTCTGTCTTCCAAACTGGGGTGTGAGATTCGAGAGGGCAAGGCTGGGCACCTCAGTCATTGCTGTGTCCCCATCTCTGCCCAGCACAGGGTGGCATGAGGAGCTGCTCAGAGACTGTGTGCTGAATGAATGATTGAAAGGGTGTCAGCCAGAAGCAGAGGGAAGTAGCGATTTGTCTTGGGCAGCAGCATCTTGTGTTCCCGTGGGTCCTGTGAGGGCTAGGGACAGGACTAGGGTAGAGTGGCTGGGTGCTGTGTATGAGTCAGGAGCTGGCACAGGCCATATGATCTGGAGCAGGGAGGGAGGCTGGTCGCACGTCCAAGGCCTGGGGACAGACGCTGGCTTATGTTTGTTTGAATTGTATTTATCCCCGGAGAGTCAATGACTGTCCCATCCTCTGGGGTTCCCAGCTGCCCGGTCTGCGGAGTGTGTCACTGAGTTGGGGAGGGGATGATGACGTGTCTCATGTCTCAGAATGTGATTCAGGGGCAAGAAACCCAGTGTCCTCGGACGCATGTCCCAAGCAGAGGTCTTATCTGTCTCTTGTGGGCTGGAGGGGTTTGGGGGCCACTGGGCCAGGAGAGAAGAGGAAAGGGGGGCTTGCCTGGTTCCCTGGACTGTTCTCTAAACCTCCTGCCAAAGCTGCTTACTATGGGGGAGGGGGAGAGAGAGAGAGAGAGAGAGAGAGAGAGAGAGAGAATGAATAAATGTGTCCTGACCCTGGGCTCCATCTCTGGTGTTTGACCTAAAAAAAATCCAAGGGGATTAAGGATGAACTAGAACCAGCTGGGGGCAAATGTGCGCTAATTGGGGGGGGCTTCCCTGGAATCCTAGATGCCCAGCGCAGGCATTGGTCCTGGGAGGGAGACATGCAGGGTGAGAGGTATGAGGGGGATTAGAGAGAACGGAGGGGCGATGAAAATGTATGGCTGTGGGAAAGCAGACAGACATGGAGGAGAGGCAGAAGAAAGTCTGGGGTTTGGAGAGAGGACAAGATAAAAACGAAACCACACAGGAGGGAGCTGAGGCGTAGGAAAAGGAGAGAAACATAAAGGCAGCGATGGGCAAGCAGAGGGAGGGAGAAGTGAGGGGCAGCCCCAACAGAGGACGACCTCACTGAGGGTGCTACTGAACACTGGTTGAATGGGTGATTGGACAGATGCAGTCGGGAGAGCAAGAGAAAGAAAAAGGGGAGAATATGAGAGGTGGGGGGAAAGGAAAAGATGGGGAGTAGAGATGGGAAGATAGAAAGGGAGGGAAAGCAGAAGGGCGGGAGAGGGAAAGGCAGAGACGGACGACAGACAGACCGGATGAGAGGCTGAGAACAAGATGTGACGGACAGCCAGCAGAGCCAGGGAGACAGAGAGGGGCCGATGGGACTGGAGTCTAAGGGGGGAACAAAAGGTGGGAAAGTCAGAGATAGAATGAGAAAGAGACAAAACAGGCAGAAAACCAGTGAGACTCAGAAGGGACAAGATGGGGCGACAGAGAAACCCAAAGGGACAGAGTAGGGGGAACAGTGTGTGTGTGACAAGGATGGCTGGCCCCCAAGCTCCAAGGAGCATCCAAACACCTGCCTCCCTGCCCCTCCGCGTAAGCTCCTCCAACTGACCCAAAGGGGCAGGTGTGTGGGAAGGGGCACATCTGCCAGCACATCATGCAAATGAGCTCATGAATATGCAGCAGGCCCATTGTCTGGCCCTGCCCCCACCCCCATCTGCTCTGGGCCTGGCCCCAGGGGCTGAGAGCAGCTCTGTCCTCACCCCCCCCCCGCCCCCCACTTAGGGGGAGGGGAGGTCCCCCACCAATCTCACAGTCCCTGGGGCAGCTGCTCCCCCTCCTCCAGGGCCCAGGTGGGAGGGATGGGCAGAGTCCTGGCAGGGGCTTACCCGGATAGAAGTCTTTGGACTTGGAGAGCTTGATGGTGGCTCCTGTCTCCTTCTGTAGCTGCACGATGGTTTGCCCGCCCTTGCCAATGATGGAGCCCGCAGCGTAGCTAGGGATCAGCACCTTCAGGAAGTATTCACCCTCCTCTGCAGGGGCACATGGCGGGAGGAGAGTCAGGGGGAGGGGAGTGGCGGAGGGGGCTTCACCTTTCGGGGGGGGGGCCCCCCTTCTTCAGGTGCCAGCACAGGGCGCCCTAGGAAACCACTGGGCTCACGGTGACTAACATACAGGAGCGATGACCATGAGGACAGCAGAACGGAAAATAACAGTAATGATCATTCATTCACTCGCCAGTAGTCACCGAGCACCTGCTGTGTGCTTAGCACTGTGCTGGCCAAACAGCCACGAAAGAAGCAAACTCCCTGATTTCACACGTAAAATGAGGCCGCGAGGGTTTTAGTGGGTAAGCCTAGAGCTTGCACAGCTACGTTCTCCTGGAGGGGGGACAGACAGCATGGCGGCGAGTGCGAGGGGAACAAAAAGAGGCAGGAAAGGGCTGGGGAGTGGAGGGGCTGCGCTGTCAGGTCCGGCAGCCAGGAAAGCCCTCCGGAGAATGGGGCTTTCTCTGTCAAACACGCTGCAGCCCTACTATGTGCTAGACTCTCTCCCAAGCACTTACAAAAGCCAGTTCCTCTCATTTTCACACTGATGCGGCGAGGGAGGTACTTTTAAAAAACACATTCTAGTTTTGGCCGGTGTTGCCAAGTGGTTAGAGCGTTGGCCCATGCACTGATTGGTTGCAGGTTCGATTCCCAGTCAAGGGCAAGTAGCTGGGCTGCAGGTTTGATCCCTGATCCCAGCCTCCGGTCAGTCGGTTGGGGTGTGTGTGGGAGGCAACCAATCCAAGTATCTCTCTCTCCCCCTCCCTCCCACTCTTCTACTCTCTCTAAAAATCCATGAAAAAATATCCTCTGGTGAAGACTGACAACAACCACCCCCCCCACACACACACAACACACACACACACACACACACACACACACACACATACACCCATTCTACAGATGAGAAACAAAGGTGAAGAAAGCGCCCCCGTTTGCATAGGTGACAGGGCTGAGATCCAGGGTCCTAGCTCTGAACCATGCTATCCTGTCCCCTGGCTGTGGCTATTGGGAGACAGAGCAAGGACAGAGGCCCAGGAATGGGGTTATGCCTGGGTTGTTTCAGGGAGTTCGGCGGCCGGTGTTGGGACTGAGTGAGAAAGGAGAGTGGGAAGAGATGAGGGCTCAGAGGGGTGGTGGCGGCGGGGTGTTCAGGCTTGTGGCCCACCGTGAGGTCTTTGGTTTCTACTCCAAATAAGATGGGCGCCACGGAGGGCTCTGAGGGGTGTGATCTGACTTAGGTTGCCAGATCCCTCTGGCACCCAGGAGGGGAGCAGACTGAGAGCAGCCAGGGTGAAGAGCTGGGAGCCCAGTGAGGAGGGGACTGCAAAGGCCTGGGCAGGAGGTGATGGCAGTCTGACTGGTGCAGGCAGCGAGAGGTGAGAGGGAGGCGGCCGGATTCCAGAAATGTCCTCAACACTCATATGGCCCTGGCACTGTGCTGCTTGGCAAGGTTGAACTTGTCCATTCCTCACAACCTGCCAGTAAGTGGGGTAGACGAGCCGCATTTTTACAAAAGAGGAAACTGAGGCACGGAGGGACTCAGAGACGGAAAGGCACCAGCTCCAGGTCACCAGCCCAAGGGCACCAGACAGTTAGTTGCTGGGCTGAGATTCAAATGCGATTCTGCTTCGTTCTTGGCCCTCCCCTGTTTAACACCCTCCACTGCCCGTGGCCAAAGGCCAACGCGTTCAAGGACAGTCAGTCTCAAGACCAGAGATGCCAAGGTGGTGCCAAGGGTGTCTGTGGGGCTTGGCCATTCTTTGTTATGGCCATTTCCTTGGTCATGGATAAAGCACTTGGTTAACGCAGTCTCAAGGCCAGTGCCTCGCCTCTCCTACCTTCTAACCAAACTGTTGCCTTCTCAACCGAAGTCCCTGGGTGATCGGGCTCGCCCACCTTTCCAGCTGCAGGTCCTGGTCTTTCTCTATGGGCACTAGACATACTTTCCTTTCTGTTCCTCCAACATTTCTTCCTCCGTCCCACCTCAGGGCCTTTGCACATTCTCTGTGTCTGCATCTCCCCTCCCCCAGTGAATTCCTTTTGTCCTTCAGATCCCCACTCAAATGCCTCTTAACTGTTGGAAGCTTTCCTTAAACTCTGAGGAGGGGATGCATTCAGAGCAATGTATCACCGAAGCCTACTGTGGGCCATGCAGTAGAGCTCACCCTGGTGTCCCCGGGGACTCACCGGTGCCCAGCAGTAGTGGGCATGCAATAAACATGGGGGTGGCGGGGGTGGGGT